GAGGTGAGGAGATTAAGGGGGGATATGATTTCCATGTACAAAATGTTTAATGGTGGTAGCAACATTAGCGATAAACTGTTTAAAATTAACTCCGTTACAAAAACTAGAGGCCATAACCTAAAATTGGTGGAAAAAAAATTCCAGCACAAGGTGCGAAGGGGGTTCTTCACAGTAAGATCAGTTAGGGTCTGGAACTCACTGCCACAGGCGGTGATTTCAGCAAATAATGTGGAATTGTTCAAGAAACTTTTGGACGATTTCTTAAGGGACCGTAATATACAGGGGTACGGGTACTCCTAGAATGAGATCCTAATAGGTTGGACTTGATGGACTAATGTCTTTATTCAACCTCAAATACTATGTAACTATGTAAGTATATACAACTGAAAGGGTACCTGCTATGTGTCCTTGAACTTCACTCCCCTGACACTCTATTCATCCACCCGGTGTGAAGAACAAAGCCCTGTGTAAGCTCTAGTAACATTTCTGGTTAGAGTTTACACAGTGCTAACTGTCTTTCTGCCCCCTTGTGACAGTACTGGGCCAATCACAAAGCACCAGTGCTACCACATGAAAGGGCAGTGAGTCACATGCTCCTATACACCAGTATCTGAAGGGAAAGTCAGGGGGGCATTACACCTTTAATTTTAGTTTTGGATAGAACTACAATTTTTGTCAGGTTTTTCTTTTCCTGCCCTCGTAGGGGGAACAGAGATTGTATACCTGCTGTGGCCATTATAATGGGTCCCTATTCTCCTTGTTACAATTTAATGGATTTTATATCAATTAAATAACATCTAGTGGGTAGATGATTTTATATAAATGAGAAGGTAAGAGGATTGGTAGCACCATTCCAAGGTGAGCAGGACCACTCTAAATTTTGAAGGTGGACAGGAAGAACTCTGGTAGGAAGATCTCCCCATCGATTCCCCAAAAAGTAGAAGCCATACGATGTTTCTGTTTGCCACAATCCATCTATAAGTGAAATTTCTCTTTTGGATTCTTTACAATTGAATATGGATTTTATTAAAGCTTAGGTCAATATACCTTTTTTTTTCAACAACTTGGCCTTATTCTTTAACATCCTGGGGTGTTTTTTTCTTCTTTTTTTTCATTTTAAGTGGAATAACCATTTCAAATACTTTTTCTGTACTCTTATATAGAGACTAGTACTTTTATCTCTTAATGAGCGTCTAACATCTGTTTGAAATTCATGTGCGTCACATTAAAACATTGAAAAAAAATACACTATTGGAATCTACAAGAGTATTTTATTAATACGTTCCATGTACCGAAAAATAATGGTATGTGGATTAAGTGTTCAGATAACATCAAGTATAATTTTCCCATCATTTCCTAATTTCATGGAATTCCACAAAATCATTATGTAACTTTCAATGAAAAGTACAAAAAGTTTTTCTTGCACAAAGTGTATTTTTAGTGCTTCATAGCAGATGGAATATCTTAACTCCTGATGTATCTGAAGGTTTAAAATTAAAGTAACTGAGAATGTATGATGTTTAATGTATCTATGAGTGATGCCAGACATCTGTAGGAAAATACATTACATTCACTTTCACTGTAAAAACAATTCATTCATTAATAACATTGGACAACAAATCTTTTCAAAAGTTTAGCTTCCTGAAAAACCTTTAGTGATTAGGACATACCCCTTCAAGCTGAACAAAAACATAATTCCATAATGACTGTATTACATAGGAATCTTAACAAATAGCATTGGGGAACTCCAGTTGCCCTGATATCGTTTTTCCATTGTGGCCACGTCTTGGTGAAACCATTCACTATGCCCGTCACTGACTGCACCTAGATTTTCGGGAAAAAAGGCCAAGTGTGACTGCAGGAATTAAATCATCAAGAACATGCTGCACATCATGGTCTTGTATGCTGTAATAAGTGCCACATTTTTTCAGAGTGGACATTCCTTTTTAATGTAATATAACTTTTTTGCACGGCTGTCCCATTCACAGATGAAACAGTACTTAGTATATCCAAGCTACATTCAAGAAGCGGGGCCACTACTTTTAGATCTCCACAGATATTCCACTTGTACTTGGTGCACTGGATGTGCTTCAATAACAGTTTCATGTTTTTGTATGTTTACTTCAAGTTTGCAGCATAGGCGACAGGTATTAGAAGGTGTACATTGCCGTTGTGTAACAAGACAGACTTGAGAAAACAAGATTGTCTACTTGTGCAAAGAACCTTTTTTTTTAATTTTTATGGTGAGTTGAAAAGGCAGACATTTTTCTACCTGGTGATAGCCAACACCATCTTTGCAGTCTTGAACCCACTCTTGCTGGTGTAGCGCTCACCCCCGAAGGAGCCGCTGAGTATGATATAGGGTTCTCCTACCTGTTGGTTCCGGCTACCGGTCCCCTTTGATCAGCAACAGCACACCGACACTCATGGACAGAATGGCTCGAGTCTTAGGGTTCTTTTTGGGGTATTTATTTGCAAGTTCAATAGGAGAGAGAGGGTTTAGGGTCTGTAGGATGCCCTTGGAAATACTTGGGAGGACAGCTTTCTCCCTTAGCAACAGCTAAGGCTGAAATCACTGTGATCTGGTCCCAGGGACCAATAGTAGTAGTAATACTGTGAACAGATACCTGGAATAGGGTGAGGGATCTCCCTTGTGGGTCCCAGACGGACGCTCGCACCAGCTCCTCTGCGGTACCCCTCAACAAGCAGACTCTCCTTCCAACCCAGCTCCCATCAGGTATTTTCCTTAGCAACAGGATCTGGAATCTCTGTGCCCTCAGCATCTGCAACTACCAAGGAGCACTCCACTTTAGTGGTAGTATCTTCTTAGAACAAGGCACCCATCACCTGCCACGTGTATGGGCCCAGCAAAGTATCAGTGTATCCTAGGCCTCTAGGCCCCTCAGCACCTGCCATGTGCTGAGGCCCAGGCCAGTTTCCTACATCTCCACAGACCTCCTAGGGCGAGGCCCCTAAGGGGAAGAGAGCTCTGCACAGTGTCCCCAGACCTTTTATTACCTGCCCTCAATGTTCAATGTCTGCAATGCAGGTAATATGTATAGAAACATGTCATTTACTCCTGCATAAAATATGTGGTAACATGTGTTACTGTACCGCATGTCATAGGGTAAATAATCCCTTCCATGTTTTTTGGAACACTACAGGTGTCTAAATCACCCTTAGAAACTTTTTTGAAAAGCTAGAGACGCTCTAATATGCAAATGTCAACACAAAGTCAGTTCTCGAGAACTGCAGTACCCATATGAGTATGTTCTCAATTGCATGGCATTTGAGTTCTCCAGAAGATATCTGAAGGCACACGCAGGCTATGTACTTGGGTTACGCTGGTACGGTTTGTTTATTACCTTTACCAGGTTTACTTTAAAAGCCAATTATCATAAAAGAATTGTGTATGTATATACTCTATATTTACATTCAAACCAAGCTGTCAAGGAAAAGTGACATGGGTTGGAGCAAACTATTACTCACATAGTTTCAATTTTCTTTTAAAAGCAAAAAACAACAACTTTTCACTGCAACTGCTGAAGCAGCCGTGGGAAGGGAGAGGGGATGTTATTCCTGAGCTTTTTTTATTTAATCTAATACAATTTACATTAGAAAGTTGAGAGACCTATTAAATGAGCTGCCTAAGAGACCACAATGGACCAAAAATCATGCATGCAGCATTTTCAGAGGACATTGCGTTGTCATGCATTGCGCTGCAATGCAAGTGTCTGAGAAGGTGTGTTGGGGTGCCACACCACTATATAGCGAACAAGCTTAGTAATTTAAATTCTATCTTGCTTTGTAATGTAGGTTTCTGCAATAAATAGTGAAAACATGTCCTCCCATTTCCTTAGTGCAGTTTTATATACTTTTGCGGCATGGCAATATTTCATTTGAGAGGTCATGCTTTCATTCACATGCTACAGAGATATCTTTGAATAGCTACAGGCAGTAGAAAAGCTCATCTGCAATTCACATGAGTTAGAATAGAAGACTATATAGAAAGGTCAGTATCACAACATAGTCTTTTATGTTCTGAGTTGATATAGTAACTAAGAGAACCAAAACTCATTGACATTTTTATATTTCGAGAACTATGGGGATCATTATTGCTGGAAACATCGCTATAATATTTTGTAGCATTGCTAAAATGCACAGGAATTAGATTATAGTATTTCCAAGCAGACTTATTCTCACCAAAGTGCTGTTTAGCATTGAGAAAATGTTCTGCATGCTGCATTTCCCATAGAAATCGGTTAAAGGAAGACCTTCAAAAATGTATCATAATGCACCTGAAAATTAATGAAAAAATACATCAATGTTTTGTTGTGCATCAGGGTATCAGTTAATAGACCAGAGTGTCTAAGAATGGCTCTGGTGATTCTTTTTCGATGGTATAAATACTGATCTAGTGGCTTCAGAACTTGCTGAGGCTTTGACCTGGAATTAGGACGCAGATCAGTCATTCAGAAAGTATTGATGCCGGAGACAGACAGACATCTAGTATACTTTGAAGGAGATCAACAATTACACCCCTCATAGCCATCTTACTACTTTTGTTTAAAGTAAACCTGCTATGAGGAAAATCTTGTTGCTGGCCTTCTAAAAATGCTAGTTGCTGGGCTTCAACACTTTTAAGTAATGGAGTTAGCCAACATATCAGCATGGCAGCCAAGTGATCTACATTCTCAAGGAAAGGTCAGCAGTGGTAGCCTACATATTTCTCTTATGACAGGTAAGTAAGCATTCAAGGTTTAGAAGAAACATGGCAGAATATGTAATCTCTGCTCAGATAATGTGAATTTAAAAAAATCTATTAACTATCAGGGAATTTTAAAATGAGTATGAGTAAAAAAAATGTGAAATAATAATTTGCATTGAAATAAAATGTTTTAATTCTATGCTTGCATTGCAGCACAATTGTCCTTTATCACATGATGACTTGGGGGCTGGCAGTTCTGCTTTGTATAGAAGGTGTTGCTATGCTCTATTACCCTTCAGTGTCTAAGTAAGTATTTATATTTTGCATGTGTTTTTCAGTAGTATTTATTCAGGATTGGGCTGTTTATATGTCAACCTGTTATGAGCAAAACAGTTCGCCTGAACCAGGATTTACACCAGATTGGACAAATTCACTGAAAGTGAAGTTTTCTATTTTTTTTGTACCAGTCTGCCTCCTTGTGCTTACTGTATTTGTCAGCAGACCACACCACAATTCTTTCCATTACTTTCTAGCTTCCATGTGAACTTTCATTTGCCAGTAGCAACCAATCAGCAGGGATCATGCATATGTTATGACATGAGAAAGAGGGACAACTTCCAGCACAATATATTTGGGCAATGGACAGAATCCTGCCACAATCCCAGTCATGCGAACAATTAAACATGTGTATGCCCAAAATGTTTGGTTAGACCCACTATTTTACCATTACTTTTCCTTTATACTGGCTTTTTAAAATAGCAAACATGATAATAAGGAAAGATAAAGGGTTTAGTGTAGAATAACACTTTTGGTAGTTATATAGAACCCTTTCAAGGGACAACTGAGTAGGAAAGAGGGGCAGAGGGATTTGGTTGCAAATGAAGGACATTCCCTCCAAATTAGTGACAGTTGGGAGGTATGGATGATGTAAATTGGCTCAAAGCATATGGAATTGCAGCAGTCACTATTCTGAGCATGGCAACGGACCGAGAGGATCAGAGCCACAAAGGTTGAGCCTGGAAATGATTTGCTTTCCAACAGAACTGCCCGGAGCTGAGGACCTACATAAAAACACAGTGAACTGGTAAACTCACGTATAATGTTAAACAGTGCACCTGGGACTTCACACTTTGCATGTTGCTAGATACCTGTGCACACCAAGGCGCCAAATATATACCAGCCTATTCTGCGTAATATGGCAATTTTGTGGTTAGCTGGATATAGCAGCCACACACATTATTATTATACAGGATTTATATAGCGCCAACAGTTTGCACAGCGCTTTACAATATAAGGAAGACATTACAATCACAATACAATTCAAGACAAGATGGTAAGGAGGACCCTGCCCATGAGGGCTTTCAATTTAAAAGGGAGGGGCAAGTGATACATGAGGAGGTAGCTGTGTGGGGATGAAACACACATGATTTGGTAAATAGTTCTATAACTCCTGTTTGCAATATATAAGTCTGCTTTTACTTTATTGATTCTATAGTGCCAAACTTGTTGCAAAGACAGTACAATCTTCTATGTTCTACAAGCTGATCTTGCAACCTGGTGAGATTTCACCCCATACAGGCTTGTCTACCCGATGGCACACATGAAAATAGGTCCAGGATGCTGGAGGTTTCTATATTTCTTGGCCACTAACCATGTAGGTATTTTGAGATCTGCGTTTCTTGGAACAGGTCTCAATATACGCCAACAGGGAGAACTATGGGATTAGTGATGCTATTCCCCCATTTTTCCACCTTATGCAGGGATGAGGAAGAAAAAAGGCTTAATTCGAACTCTAGACATTCTCACTAAATTATTAAAATGTCCCTCACTCCTTTGATGATAAAGCATTTAATGCTCGTTTTTTCTAGGGTACAAGATAGTAGAGTATAACTAGCCTTAATCCAGGACCTCCCAACAGCCAGCATTCCATTCCTCCGTTCTCCAGCACTAAAATGTAGGTGAGCAAACCTACATCATCACGTGATGTGATGTCATCAGCGAGGAGGCAATGGCAAGACCGGTCAAAGACCAGTGAGAAGGGCAACTTCGGGGGACCTGTCATCAGATCCAGAACTAGCTAGAAACCTTGGATTAAGGTAAGAATTACTGCATCTTAACCCATCCCCTAGAAATATTTGACTGAGAGGGGAGATATTTTCATTGGGAATTCCAGGAGTTAGGCTTTAAGAGGGTTTTCATTGAAGCTGAACTCCGGGCACAAAAACGTTTATTTAAATATACTCTTCCATCCGTCCTCCGTCGCCGGGCCCGCCTCCCCCTCTGTCAGCAGCCCCGCCTCCTCCTCCCCGCCACATCCAGCCTCCTCCACCGCAGCTGCTGACTCTCATTGACTCAGCAGCGGCAATGGAGAAGAACGCAGCGCTGCACAGATCACGGTGATCTGAACAGCGGTGTGTTCGAACCCATAGCGACCCAGGCAGCCCGCACGTCATCAGGGGGGTGTCCTGGCCTCTCCTCTTTCAGATTGTAAGCCCTCAGGGGCAGGGCCCTCCTTACCATCTTGTCTTGATTTGTACTGTAACTGTAATGTCTTCCTTATATTGTAAAGCGCTGCACAAACTGTTGGCGCTATATAAATACTATGTAATAATAATAATAAGAAGAAGAAGAAACCTAACAGAAGTTCTAACCCTTACCTACTCTACCCAAACTTAAAAAAAGTTTTGCTTGGAGTTCTACTTTAGGCTTTCCTGCCATAAAAGGTGCATTATAGTGTTATCAGGCATATGATTCTTTAAATATTGCAATGTAATAGAGAAAAGAATGTGGTTTGATTTTGTTTTCCAGCTGTGAGGAAGGCTTGGAGCATGCCATTCCTCATTACCTCACTACCTACGCCCCTCTTCTGCTTGTAATGGTAGCAAATCCCATCCTTTTCAAAAGGACTGTCTCAGCAGGTAAGAGCACAAAGTATGAGAGAGAGAGTAAAATGAGGGGTCCTCCCTAAAATTCCCAACCAGACCCTAGATCCGAGCACAGGCCTGGCAAGGCAGGAAAGGGGGTGGATGAGCGAGCGCCCCCCCCAGCCACATACCCAGCCACATGCCCTCAGTACTGGGAGGGTGTTTTTCCAGGGTCGCCCCTGGAAAAGCACCTCGTCCCCTTGCCGATGGGGACCAGGGCCACTTCCCCACAAGTCCTGGGGCGTTGGTTGTGGGGGTGCGGGCAGGGGGCTTATTCACATCAGGGTACCCTTTAATAAAAAAAAACAACAAACAATCTCCGCAGAATGGCATTTTAACATTTTCACACTGTCCCTCAGCCATTTCCGCATGGATGTCTGACAGGTACTTAAATCTTGACCTAGAGGAAACTCATCACCCTCCACCATCAAAAGCTGTCTCCCTGCAATTTTTGTAACTGTAATTAGTGCAGTCATTCATTCATCTTTCCCTACAAGCTTGCTGCCCTAGGGTTTCCCTACACTCAGTCTTATTCTTCATTGTTTGCATTTGGAACATATATTTGGCCAATTCCATTTTCATAATATGCCAGAAATACACTAAAGTCCACTAAATTGAAAGTCCATGCAATTATAATTTATTTTCTTGACTAAGCCAAAATTCTCATATCTGGTATTCCACTTACAAGACTCTCAGCCCTGCTATTTGTCATGAAGGCTGATGGAAGTCATATCTATGCCTCTCTGCATTCCTATTTTGCTTTCCTCCTTTCCAGTTTTTTGCTGGTTTCCTATGAACCTGATAATCACATTTAAGTTGTTATGCATTAGTCCTCACCTGTATTTCTGACCTCATACATTCCCTTAACCAATCTCACCACTCTTCCAATGATCTAGTATTTATCCTTCTTCAGTCATAACCTTATCAAATGCATGGATGCCATCTACTTAACTTTTTATATCTATTGTTGGGATGGGTCTTCCCAATGTAGTCATATTTTATACTCATTTTTTTCTGAGATTGTCATTTACCCCTCTCAGCTTTTATCATACAGTAATGTGCAATATGTTCACACTGAATACATATTTAATATTAACCTTGTATTGTGTGTTGTCAGTTGCCACATTATTAAAAGGAAGACAAGGAATCTATACAGAAAACGAAAGACGTCTAGGAACAGAAATTCAGATTCGTTTTTTCAAGATTATGCTGGTTTTCATGATATGGTAACTGCTTCCCTTTTTTTGGCTACAAAACTAAAACATAAATGTAAAAAAGATATTTCAGTATAGTGACAGAACATTATACAGTGCCTCTATTTCATATTCTGTTAAATTGATGAATACAACTTAAGTGCAATAACTTGCAGAAAACCTGGAAGTCTGTGATGTATCCTGGAATTTTTAGTAGCATATAAACTCTATAATATCATATTGCACCGCGCATAATTGTTTCTGATTTCTTTATTAATCCTTAGATAGTAATTGTCAGGGATTCTATAACCCAGTATCACCACTCCTTTACAGCAACACCAGACAGAATGGCGGGTGCACATCGGCCAAGCTCGTCTTGCTCCAACATCAGCAATTACTCACAGAAAAAAAGTCTGTGTAGCACTCAGATACACATCATCCCTCCATGCATCCTCTTAACTCTGATATGTGTGACCCAATAATGGTCTTAGTCATAGAGTATCTATGTTCTATGTCTAAGCCCATTATTGGGTGAAACATGTCAGAACAAAGAGCATCAATGAAGGGACAATGTGTATCTGTGTGCTACAATAAACTTTTTTTTTTTTTAAAGTGGCCCTGTCATTACCCAAATTTCCAAGAAGGCATACCTGGAAAAGAAAAGGGTGAAGAATTTCCTTTTTCTGTAGCCAATACAGTAACACAAGAACGCCAACGGGCTCTCGAGAAATCCTCTGCTGAAGTCTCCTGGAAAACTGATACTTCCAGAAGTACTTCTCCTTGGTCCCCCATAGCTCTCCCGCTTATCTTCATTGTTCTATCCTGTAAAGACATAGAGGTTGGCGGGAGGAACCACTGAGTTCTGTGGGGAACTGTTGGCTCAGGCAGCAGAAGGAAAGTTTTCACTCTTATTTTCCAGGTATGCATGTTGGATTTTTTTTTGTTTGTTTATGACATTGGCTCTCATGAGAAACATTCAAAGTCTGTAGATGTTTGAAATAAAATGCAAGGTAAGCCGCGCTATCGCTTGAGTTTAGGCAATATGATGTGATGGCTGAGACCCCAGTTGTGTTCTTTTCTGCAGATGTTAAAAGCCCAATTGAAGTCTCAGCAAAAAAATAGCTCTCTGCTTATTTTACAACTGTAGGTCTGACTCAGTGGGGGGCACATCAGATCACTAATAAAAGATCACTGCTCTCACACACGGCACAGAATGGGGAGAGGAGTTTGGACTGGTGTTGGGACTCTATTATAAAGAACATAAGAGTGAGACATTTATAAATAATAGTTGCACCCTCATAAAAAATTATTTTGTTAACACTATTTAAACTATTCTAACATGTATCTGAAATTACTTTTCCTGAACTGTATAATTTTACATGGAGTTTTTTGAATGCTCCCTCTAGTGTTCATCTGTATGTAATGAAAAGATAGTATTTCATGCCTAAAGCATGGTATGGTATTTAAATGTATTATCTTTATGTGGCAGGCTTCATTTAAAAGTAGCAGGTTCCTAGAGGTTGATATACAACTGATGTTAACAAATAAACCTGATCTATCAGTACCATAATTCAGTAGGGCTGTGGCAAGGCTGTTTTCATATCCTTGTCAGGCTGTAAATGAGCTGGATTTACAGCTTATTATTTTTGTGCTGCAGTAGCATTTAAAGTGACACTAAACTCAAGAGTAGAATTTTAAAAATGCATTCAAGCACCTTAACTATTAACAAAAATGTATCTTATTTGTGTATTACTCAGCTGTAGATCCTCAATTAATCTCTGAATTGGTGCTGACACTGTCCCTCTTTCTGGAGGGTGGCTACTTTTGTTCCCCATGTTCCCTGTGTGTAGTCCATCATGGAAGCGAGCTTGGAGCATTGGCTACTTTACAACACAGTACACAGGGGCCATGGAGGACAAAAGTAGACACCATCCAAAAGGAAGGACAGTGTTCACACCAATGCAGAGATGATTTGAGGATGTACAGACGAGCGAAACACAAATAAGATCCATTTTTTTTCATAGAAACCAAAAAGGCCACCTCTAAAGTAAAGCCATAGGTTTATGATTTGAATAATTCTGTCCACCCATAAGCAGAGATGGAGCTCCTTGTTTTTGTGCTGAAAGTAAGGAGCTTAGCTTTTGTTATAATAAGCTAGTGCTGTATCCCACAGTACTTTAAAGGTGAGCTTTTTGGTTCCTTTTGTATGGCCTCACCGTGATATTAATGGTCGTACGGTTTCTGTGATGGAAAGGGAAATTATTTTTCCATAGCCAGGTTGCATGGTGTGAACGGGTCCTTAGGCCACACCAGCACTCTGCACTTTTCAAACTGCAAGTAGTTACTTTAGGGCAGCAGATGCACTCCCTGGTTTAGCCACCAGAACTCCCTACAATGTCCACAGCTTGTACCCAGCTCTTCTGAACACTTTTCAGCAGGCAAAGTTTCCATCCTGGTGCCCTAACTCAGGCAATCACCTTTCTGTACCTCCTACCCTGAATATACTCTCCAGCAGGAGAGCAGCAAACTAGACGTGGGCCTCTCTCTATCACACACCCTCCCCATGCAGCAGGCTGGGGTGACAGTAAACTTTCAGCAACACATCCTCCTCTCCTGGCTAAAGCCCAAGAGGCAGGAGAGCTTCCACAACTTCCTTGTTATTGACCAAGGAGACATAAATATTACTCATTCACTATAATTGTATCTTTGTGCCCTATTGCCAGGGACACTCCATCAACAACAGGTAGAAACAAGCAATAACACTGAGCTTAAGAGAAACCTAACAAAAGCAGAACTATCAATCCATTCCCCACAGCCTCTCCTCCCCTTCGCTCCAGCGGTCTAAGGACTGCTAACGTCATCACCTCTTTTGTAGGTTCCAGAGACCAGCATTAGAGGTGAGGATTCCGAGGAACATTCCGCCAGCTGGATCGGAGGGGAAGAGAGGTGAGCACTGACCATTGGGGGAGCAGGGATCAAATAATTAAAAGTGCTTTACTCCGGTCCCCTAAACAACAAGGAGCACTTAACCTTTGCATTGTGGGGGTAGCCCCACTGCAAAGATAGTGTTTTTGGTTTGCCTGGAGATGGACTTTAAGTTACATTTATGAAATTAATATTTATAAATACAAAAGGCAAAAGTGCATACAAAAAATGTTGAAATTCATTGGAGGGATGAGTACCATGGAGCTTAGAAGCATCAAAATGCTTCTAGGTTTTTTATCATCGTATCTCAAGCCTATCTTCAGGTCCCCCCAATTATTTATGTTTTGTAGAGATCTACCGAAAAGACTAAGGGGTCTATTCACTAAGCTGCCGTAGGGAGCCGAGTGAATGACCGACCTGAAGTGAAGTGAGCCGAACACTGTTCAGCTATTCACTTCAGGTCGGTATGGCTGATTTCAGCTGTATATCGGCTGAAATTAGCCATACATCGGGTGGCTTTGGCTTTGCGTGGCTTCGGGTCGGCCGAACATGAGAGGCTGATCGAGTGGTGTAGAGAGGAAAGCCCAGCCTCCTGTGACAGCGCTGTCTCTGCCCCCACACCGCTCTGCCAGACTGTGATAGGCGGCAGAGCGGTGTGGGAGGAGACGCTGGCCGCTCACAGCGCTCTCCACCGCAGCGCTCGGCCGGCTGTCACTTTCTTTTCTCCCCGCTGGAACAGCGCCCAGCGGGGAGAAAAGAAACCAGGGATGCGCCGATGTATCGGCCGAAACATGGCTCTTTCGGCATTATGCCAAAAGTGCAATTTTCGGGCAATATGTTTCGGCGGCCGATATATAGGTGCATCCATAGCCAATAGTAATGTAGCAATGCATTTCAATTGGAATTTTTTCTTTTCTATTCTGACATCGCTCCGTGTCAGAATAAAGAAAAAAAAGAAACAGCAGTGTTTCTCTCCTTGGCGGCCGGGAGCAGGAGACTCCCGGGGCGCCAGGGAGAGTTAGCTGTTTGGAGATCAGTGTCCCTGGTTAGCAGGTAACCAGGGACGCTGATCTCTCTGCAGTGGCCGGAGCAGGCTGTCGGCCGGCCAAAGGCCGCCCGCTCAGCCAGCTTCGGCCACGTTTGGGAGCTGTACGGGCTATTGTGAATAGCCCGTACAGCACCCCTTCGGTTTTACTGAACCGAAGGGGTCCTGGGGCCGAACCTAGCAGAAGGATCGGCCGAAGCTCCTTCGGCAGCTTCGTGAATAGACCCCCAAATTGCATTACTGAGCCACTTATTACTCCACATGTTCATATAGTTTCACAAGTGAGATCACCTGCAAATCATATGCATCGTTGGGACTTCAGGACAGGTTTTGAGATAGATTGCTGCACATAATAACCTGTTTTCTACACTAAAATACTTTCTCTCTAAATTTTCTAGCCATGAGGTGTAAGCCACTATTTTCTCTGTTTTGCTCCAATAAAGAGAAGATTTTAACAAGATAAAGCATTTGAAACTGTTGCCATATTGTCTTTTATACCCTCATGAGGAGAGTGACCCTTCGTGCATCTACCAAAGTCTAAACATGGTGATTGCTTTGCGTTGGCCTCCTGTGTATATTAGAGCAGCCATTTTAAATGAAAACCTTGATGGAACCAGGCCATGCTCAGTAACAGAAACGAGTTTTACAAGTAGGTCAAGTAGACATCATTTTTTCCAATGGAATGTCTTAGATTTTCTGATATTATGGAGTTACTTTAATATTACACATGAGTGTCTGTTAATGGGGATGATGGGATATTCCAAATGTGCCTACGCTTAGTATAACTGACACTTTTAACTTTTTATTAGTTGGTTGTCCAATGTCATCAATGAGATCCTTTTGTTCTATCTGGAGCTGCAGCCAGACATGAATGGAGACCAGCTGAAGAATGTCAGGAATGCAGCACTTATCACATGGTTCATCATGGTAAGCCAGGCATGACTTCAACAAGCTTGGATATTATTATTAATGACTAAGTTCCAGCTAAGATGCTTTCAGTTATTTTAACTGCTCTGCATGCTCTTATTCAGGTTCTTGCATATATAAACTGATAAACTATGAACAAAAAAACTATATGCAGTATATATTGATCTAATGGCATATGTTTAACCCATTCTATCTTGTCATGCTTTCCAAGTTATTGTTATTATTATGATTATTATATAATCATAATAATAATGATAATAACAACAACAATAATACACAGAGTTAAACAAGTAAGTTAGTAAATTAAATGCGAATAAAAACAAAATATTATTAATAAATCCAGTTAATTAAAGCAAAACTAAAGCAGAAATTAAAATGGCTTTTCTACCATACAAATCTTTCCCCCTATGACTTGTACCTTGGCAGCCACGCATGTGCAGCTCAGTGTACAATCCTGGCATCTAGGGATGCACAAATACCTTTCGCGTACCAGTGCAGATACTTGGCATTTTCATGAGAACTACCAGGGTTGCAGCGGTTGCAGTTGGGACCTGGCTCTGGCCCTCCACCACTGTCCTGAAATCATTAGTCTGTATTGTTTTAGAAAAACTGTCACATGACAATAAACAAAAATGTATCAGTACTCGTACTCGCAAAACTGGTATCTGTGCATCAATTTATTTATATGTATAAAAACAAAATCATACATTAAAACAGAGATGTACAAATCCCAGGAGCTCCGTGTGCTCCTTACAAATGACAGCTGCCTCCTAACTTTTGAATTTTTCTCTAGTCTAGTCTTGGAGCTCAAAAGTATCGATACATGTACTCGTACTTGTACCGAGTACTGTACTTGGTATCTGTGCAACCCGACTGGCATCTGTAATATGCCAGAATTGTACATCTGTAAGTGCTGGGTGCAAGAATGCATGAACTCCTGTAAGCATGCACAGGAGTTATGTTATCTCAGCCCAGACAATCAAGACCGCTGAGCACTCAAGATCTCAGAAGAAGGAGAAGAAATAAAAAAACAGATATGGAGTAACAAGGGAGGTGGACGTCACAGCTTTGGATAGTGGCACTTTATTATAAGATTCTTCAAGGTAAGAATGCCATGCCGTGCATGCTTGCACATTATGACAAAAGCTCCTTGGCCGAACGTTTCATTCCACTTTAAATGATCTATGACACCACAGAAATGCCTTTTCCTCTAGTAAACATAGAAGTCTTAGTAAACATTGACTAATACACTGTAGGATGAGATCTCCTGACTCCACTTGAGTTAAGGGAAAATCATTTTACAGTTGCCACTAGAACAAGAATAAAGGGGAAATCCTCCACTGAGGACACCTGTTCTGGTGACAACGATCTCAGAGGAGATTTCCCCTCACTTTGGAGAAATTTCCTCTTACTTCCTTTTGTGCCTGCAGGGCAGCAAGTTAGCCTGTACCCAGCTCTTCTGGACACTTTTCAGCAGACAACGTTTCTGTCCTGGTGCCCCAACACAGCCAATCAACAAAATAAAGTTAGCTAAAAAAAAAAATACAAGGGTTTTTAAACACCCTCTATTCTCTACTCTATCCAGAAAAAAATGGCGTTAGATACACTTTAATAGAAGTGGAAAAGAGATGGACATAGAAAATGACTATATACAGAAGCAAAAAAGGACTGTTCATTTAAATTTCTTATACAATTTGTTCAGTATCAGAATGGATATTCGTCAGGCAGAGCAAGCCTCACCTCACTATTCGTAAATTAAGTTTTAGCTAAGTTAGTGACCCATATGTGATAATTTCCCCCTATTGTCCAAGTAATAAAGTAATGTTTTAAAAACATTGCTAAGAAACATTTAGAACACTGTTTTATGCAATGCCCAAGACTGCTCCATGAGGCAGCATTGACCCTTAAAATATTCCAGCCATTACCCATTAATCTGGCTGTCACTTGTCAGCCCTGATCAAAGGGTAATGCTGCTTCTGCTGCTTTAAAGCAGTGATTTGTTTACTGTCTGCACTTGAACTGGTTTAGTTTAGATTTGTTTTGTTTGGTGGAATTAGGTTAGGGTTAGTAGATTCAGATAAATAGCTTTTACTGAATTCATAAAATTGCTTTATATTTTGCATTTGGGCATTAAGCAGTAACACCTCTTATTCCTAAAGAAAACCTGTTCTAAGTGAAGTATGTATGCTGCCATTACCGACTTCTTTCTGGAAATGCTAGCTGACTTGCTACCATCCAGGCCCTCTCTATCACGACCACTAGATCAACATGACAGCCAGACAGTTAGCATTTGCAGGTAAGGTAGCCTCCAAGTTTTTTTAAGTACAAATTTCCTTTAAGGGCAGAATCAAATTTTTCGATTGCGGGTAATGTGTGCGTTAATGCACATTTGTGTGCTGCGGTGTCATTCATTTTGAATTGTACCCCATTGTACCTTTCTCATCCCAATGCATTAATACTGTACACCACACCAATGAATGTGGGCCCTTAGGGATTGATATTCAGATTAGGGTGTCAGTTAATTACATTTTGCCCTTAAATTTTGCACCGTTGAATGACAGAGGCTGTCAAAATTGCCAAATTGCAAAAGATCAAGACCCTGTCTACAGCATGCGACTTGAAACCAAAAAGCTCCATTTAGCTACAAGTATAAAGTTAAAGCAGGTATTTGATGCTTACATGACAGTACTAGTGTTACCTTAGGATCACTTTAAAGATGATTTTGTGGTAATACTCTGCTACATAATGTAAATCAAATGTGGTAAGACAGTTTCTTTATTTAGGAGGAAGCATTTTGTGATTTGTTTTCCAAATGCATTGTAACCCTCATATACATAAATGTTTTGTAAGCTCCCTGTATATGCTGTGTCTTAATATTGCACAGTGTTAGACTAATAAATCTTTTGTTCTTTCTTGTAAGGGCATACTGAACCCAATGCAAGGATTCCTCTTTACTTTGGCTTTGTATGGATGGACAGGATGGAACATTGATTTCAGGCTTAAGCACAAGGAAATCTCATTCGAACATCTGTCTAGTACATCTGCTGTTGAGTCTGATCGCAATGGCCGAATAGGTTCTTTCTTGAACTACCCTGGCTACATCCAGGACCCCACCAAAGCTCAGATGGAGAACAGCCAACAAACAGACGAGGCACTGAGCATGCTTTCTGAAGGTAATGGGAGTATAGCAGAGAGGATAACCAGACACTCCCCTATTTACCAAGGCTGGTAGCTCCTAATTATGCAGTTCCATCTATCCAACAAATTCTTATTATATTGGTGCTTTACTGGGCCCTTTAATATTGAAGGGTTTATGTCTCAATGTACTGAACTGCTGTGAATTGATCAAATATTTCTCTTTGTCAGAGAATAAGCTACAGAAACGATAAAAGTATTATGGTTTATATTTTATGAAAGTGACTATATATATATATATATTTTTTTTAAATGCAATTCCAGGTTACCTTCATAATGAGCTACATTAAATCACTACTTTGAATTAGCATTAGCCATTAGGCTATTATCTGTCATCCTCCATCACAGTCTAATGCTCTTCCATTGGATTGGTTATAAGGGGTTTTACCTAATGGCTAATCTACCTAAAATGGAAATTTCAGATTTTGCTAGATGCTTAACAATTAAAGATAACAAGTTTGGTTTAGGTTTCAGTTTTGCTGAAGTTTAAAAGTGGAAAACCCCTTTAAACTATTATAATCAAAAGGTAAACGTTTGTTTGAAGTCACAGAACCCACATAATTATTTACTTGAGGGTCATGCTGACTTTTACTTGTATGTGTTCAATTGAAGGCCCATTTCCACCACATTGTTGAGTGCTGCAGCAAACAATGTTCTCAGGCATTATGGTGTATTAAACAGTCTTTTTAAAATAAATGGATCTAAACCCATAGTGGTGCAATGAGGTGATGAGAAAATAATGCAGGGCAACGCACAGCAGCACACATGCATTTTGGTGGTGCATTGGAGGGCCATTCACAATGAATGGCACGACAGCGCACCAATGTATGAAACATGCACAGTGGTGTTAATGGGCTCTAAGTAGAACAAGAAGTATTAGCTTATTTGGAGTTGTGACAGTGAGAACAATGTACACCTACAGAGACTGTGAAAGTAGATGCATATTTAAGTGATTTTATTTAGAGTGCGCATATAACCAGTGAGACAATGTTCAAGTACACCTAGAATTAAAATATCTTTTGAATTGTAAAGGTCAAGTCTTTACAGGGTGTCAAGATTGTATTATGAAAATATATATTCATGATAATAAAAGACATGCCATTATTTCAAATGTTATACTTCACTGTATAGTAGTATAGTTTTAATTATAACAGATTGGGATAATCAATATTGGATACTGCTGTATGGTTCACTGGCAAAACAGGTCATATTTCTTTGTTCCCCTTACCACCATCATTCAGTCTTGTGTTTCAGGCAGTAGCTGTAAGTCATCCTGTACAATCCTGTTGTCTGCTAATGTGTGTCCCATTCCATTCCCTCTACCATAACCGCATAGCAATCTTGGTACACCCGATGGAGTGTTACCAGGGTCTACCATAGGAGGCTTCAGTTTGGATTTTTAGACCCACACACACACATACTAAAGCCTATTTACACAATAGCCAGCTAACCTACCAGATTGTCTTTGGAGTGTGGGAGGAAACCAGAGTACCTGGAGGAAACTCATGCAAGCACAGGGAGAACATGCAAACTCCACGCAAGATTTTGTCCTGGCCAGGATTTGACCTGGACCCGATTGATGTGAGGCATAAGTGCTAACCAATAAGACACTGTGCTGCCACCTAGTGTGTGTCCAGTAAGAAGATTCTATGGGTTTAGAGAAATGTTCCACCAGCACACCTCTTAAACAAAATGTTCATCTGTATTTAAACATCAATTAATAAAGTATCCCCAACCAACATTTCGGGACCACACAGGGCCTATTTCTCAAGACAAAGGGGCCTATTCACGAAGCTGCCGAGGGCAGCCGAGTGAATGACCGATCTGACATGTGCTTATATATACAATACTTATATCCCAACAGACAACAGTGAAAAAAAACCTATTGATTTTTTTCACTGTTGTATGTTGGCATGGAAACATTGTTGGGGAAGTGTGTTTAGTCCAAATCAGGGGAGCAGCCTAGCAGGACAATGCTGCTTCTCAGAAGATGCAATACAGTGAGTGAACATTGTCACCATAAGACAGATAGTGTATTATTGACAGGATCACCAGGTTAAAATCACCAGGTGAAAATCAAGAAAAAAAACCCCAAAAAGTAAAATATTGCAACCACCACATCTAAAAACTGGTAAGTTGTAATGTATTACATTTTTGTTTTTGGGTTTAGATATGCTCTAACTTCAAGGGCACATATAATTTCTACCCACCTCTTTCTAACAGAGTGCCAACCTCAACCCTACTAAGATGCATACTTACCAGCCTGTTATGTTAATAGCATTTGGAGAAAAGCCCTTTTACTCTGGTCATGCCTGCACAGTAGATCTATATAGGCTTCTCTGCGAATAAAGACACTTATAGAGGTCTGGGAATGAAATCACTTATAAGATCATCCTATAGAGGTCTATGAATTAACATACCTGGGAGATAGTGCTATAGAGGTCTGGGAATGAAGACATTTGGAAGATTGTGCTACAGAGGTCTGGACAAGAACAGACTTGGTAGATTGTCCTATTGTGGTCTGGGGATGAAGACACTTGGGGATGGTGTTATAGAGATATGGAAATTAAAAAAACTTAGGGGATAGTCCTAAAGAGGTCTGGCAAAGAAGACACTTGGTAGATGGCCTATAGAGGTCTGGGAATGAAGAAACTTGGGAGATGGTACTATAAGGGTGTGGGAATGAAGACACTTGGGATATGGTTCTATTGAAGTCTGGGAATGAAGACACCTAAGAGTTGATCTTTTTGAGGTCTGGAAATTAAGACACTTGGAAGATAACCCTATAGAGGTCTGAAAATCGCTAGCCTGTGAAATGATTTTATCCAGATAGGCTGTATTTATCAGCTTTTTCCCAAAGTAACCTAAGGCATGTAAAACTCAAAATTAATCAAAGTCCAATGTAAACATGTGAAACCTAGGAACATTGCATTTAGTTAAGATAGTTTCTGTTAGACACATACAAATATACATATGTATAAACATATATTAATTATAAATGCATTAAAATAAGGAGATAAACTGAAACATTTTATAACTGCAAAAGTAAAAAATAAGGTAGAGATAACGATGCTTCAGGTGGCATCTAATTGGGACAGCCTAGTTTACTGATGTCACCGTTTGCCAGGAGTGGGACTCTCTCTCTCCACTGTATATAGATAGATACAGTATGCATTTTCACCTACAGCATAAGAAAATTATACTTGTATCTTTGACCAGTTGAAATATTTTTTATTGTAAACTAGGTATGTCGATGTCTGCGTTTTTTGTACACAGTGGGTAAAGAGTGTCTTTTTTCTAACAAAGCAGGTATCTGTGAGACATTCTAATGTTAGTGTATGCATTTCAAAATGTTGAATTACAACCTTTCCATCACATCACAAAATTATTTTTACAATCTGGAGTCCTCAAAATAAAAGTTTTTGTTTAAGTTATAGTGATGTTTCTCTTTAATAAATTCAGGGCATATTTAAAGGTAAACTTTCATATATTTGACTTTAATGAGAATCCAGTAAGGGTCACACACTGAGGTGTGCAAAGATCACGCCTGCTAAAAAGTGGTGCTTAATACAAAGGTAAATCAGTTTTGATGGAATCTGCTTTAATTCAGATCTGATTTGAAAGGAGTTTAAAGAACCAATAAAGTGATAGTATAGGGAGATTAACTGGGAACCTCCAAGTTGGCTGCCTAGAGAATATTCTGTATAGACCTCTTATGTGAATGCATAAAAGTGTTGTTTTTTTTTTTAGCAAATATCCCATTTGCTCTTATTGCTGTATAACATTTTGCTTATGTAGTGTTACAAACATTATGCTGTGTTGACATGAAAGATGTATACAAGCAGAAGCAGTTTTTAATGTAGGTTACTCCTATACATGACCCAGTTTGGCTCCCCTTCTGGCACCCATCTTTCATACTCAACATATTTGCCCTTTTTAAGTTGGTGCCACCTGACTCTGCAGCAGAAGGGTTGATTTTACTTGTGCACCAAGCCTTGTCTTGGCATTGATTGCCCTCTGTTGTAGCAATGGAATTAGTGTCCTCTCTGCCAATGATTGCCATAATTTCACTGGCACTAACCGAGCTAGTCTCATACTACAGCTCTTAAAAATTTGAATTTGAATATTACCTGGACGAAGCAGTGTAACAGGAACTCTTAAAAGCATACTCTAGGAGGAGCCTTCCCAATCTCTACCATTACAGCCTCCAAAATTTCTTGTGTAGGTTTCTACTAAGTCAAAACTGGCCCAGAACCTTGCAATTCCCACATTCCAGCACTCAGACCTGGAAAACGGCCTCCCTGGCAATGAGCACTGCAACATGGGTGCCCTATGTTCCCCCATACCAAAAAGTATTTAATCAGATCAAGTAGTAGATTGGGGAGATTAAAGAATATTGGCAAGCATGAATTCTATGTGGTGCCTGCGATAAAGCGAACCGGTAGCTTTGCATAGTCCAAACAGTGCAAGTACATGCTTTAAAGCCCATCTCCAGGCTACCCCCACACTGTAAAGATTAAGAGTTCTTTTTTGTCCAGGGGGCTGGAGTAAAGCAGATTAATTTACCATGTCACTGCTGCCACTGGCTCCCTCTGGGCTGTTAGACCAGTCGCCACAGCCTGCCCTCCCTTGGACTCCCTTGGTCTAGGCTGATGTCATCATTCCTAATACAGGTTCCATAGACCTGCTTTAGACCTGAGGATGCTAAAGTATAGCTGGAGCGGAGGGAGAGAATAGGATAGCACTGTAAGGGACGTACCCTGGTGGGGTCTGGTGCCCGGCGTCCGTCGCGGGCCTGTGCAGGGACAGCGGGTTCCTCCTGCCTCGGGTTGCTCACGGCGGGTGATGGCCTCAGGTGGCAGTGGCCGTGGTCGTACTGCGCAGGCGCGTTGTGGATCGCCGGCATCTCTCTCTCTGCCGGGATCTACGTCCTGCGCAGGCGCGCCCTGTAGCTCCGCCCCCTCTAGAGCGAGCGCTT